GTCAAGATATGAGATACATTGAGAGACAACTACAAATTGCTCTAAATAGAACAATAAAGTTGTCCAACAACAATGGTTTTAAATTTTTTAACCAGAAGACAGTCTGCGTGCACTTCTGTTGCAAAAGAAATCTACATCCTGATCCAGAGCTGCATCTTGATGGCTCTTTGATCTGCGTTGAGCCAGAAGCAAAATTCTTTAGGACTTATATTTGACAGAAAGCTCACTTTCCTTCCGCATATCTTAAATCTAAAGAAAAAATGTGCTAAAGCTCTCAACATACTGAAAGTCCTGGCCAATACTTCATGGGGAGCAGAATGTTGTTCTATGCTCCATATATATAGAGCTTTAATCCAGACTTTTATAGAGTTTCAATTTCAGACTTGACTATGGCTCTGTTATCAATGAATCAGCAAGACCTTCTGTGCAACTGAATTGGATCCAGTCCACCATCAAGCACTATGGATTTGCTATGGAGCCTTTCAGAACATCTCCAGTCCAAAGTTTATATGCCATCTGTTTTGAACCACCTTTGGAATTCAGACACCAAGCAGTTGTCTATAGATCTTCGTTATAAAGTAATGTCACAAGGCCGAACATCCTGTCCGGTAAATGACATCTGATCAGCACTGGCGTATCTACCAAACACCGTCCTTCATGTTTTGCATCCTTTTGATCTTTGCATTCACTCATTGATTGGAGAAGTCAACCTAAAAAATCGGCATAGCATTCCAAAACTTTTAACTTTTCGGTAGGCATTGCTCCCTGGTAAGAAAGTGAATATTCACCTACTTAAACATTTTTGGAGAACTAAAGAAGAGCAATACCAATGATGTCCAATATCGAAACAAATTTCCTAGAGCATAGAAGCAGTCATTCTAACTATAAAGCAATTTTTACTGATGGCTCAAAGAATCATGATCATGTTGGGGCAACTTTTGTTTGTGATAAAGAAATAAAGAGTAGTAAACTTCATAAAGCTGCATCTGCGGAAACTTTACCATTTTGAATTCCTTAATCTAGGCAGAATAGCAGAAAGTTCACCATCTACTCTGAGTGCTCTGGGCTCAATAAATACAAATACCAGCCAACCCTTAGTATTAGAAATTTAAAAGGCACACCTCTGTTTGAAAAAACTCAGGTTATTATATTGCGTATTGCTGGGTGCCTGGACATGCTGGCATCAAAGGCAATGAACTCGCCCATATCGCAGCAAAATCTGCTGATATTACCTCTGAAAATGATGTCCCTTTTACAGACATACGGAATTACATCAGAACAAAGATCTTGTCCAGGTGGCAAGAACTCTGGGAATGCCAAACTCTGAACAAATAAAGGCAGGTAAAACCCAATTTGGAGTACTGGGAGTCGAGAGGGAATCGGAAGGAGGATGTACTACTGACTAGCCTACGAATTGGTCATTGCAGACTGACACATCAGTATCTCTTGAAAGGAGATAATGAGCCTATTTGTGGCACTTGCAACGTTCCCGTTTCAGTCAATCACATTTTAACCTGCTGTCCTGCTTCAGATTTCATTGGAAGAAACCCTCACATCAACCTCATAAGATTTTTAAAAGACATGTCTTTTTACCATATGATTTGAACTACACTTTATCGTGTTCTACCTGTTGCTAGAGCATTTCTCAGTTATTTCTCCATGCCTTCATCTCATTGGAAGAAACCCCCACATCAACCTCATTAGATTTTTAAAAGACAGCTCTTTTTATATGATTTGAAATTATTTTCCTTTTATCCTGTTCTACCTGTTGCTAGAGCATTTCTCAAGTCATTTCTCCATGCCTTCAATATCATTTCAGGTTCATTTCATCAATTCATTTGATACAGTGTGTATGTGCATGTTGAATTTTATTCACCATTTGTCTGGCGCATAATAACCCTTGATATTTTGTACCATTAAAAAATCAACCAACCTATCAAGATATCGTATTTCATTGGGTTTGAGTTGGATAGTTTTTTTAAAAAATTATTTTTAGTTTTGTGTATGTTGAACACATTCAGTACCCAATTAAAGTCATTTCAGCATATTCTCGTAAGTTAGAAAAAATTTCAAGTGAATCAATCTTTGAGATGTGCCTGAACATTTTTATGTGTTTTTTCTTGAACGTTAATGTTACTTTCTTCCCAGAAGATTTTTCTAAAAAGGATGCAGTCATTGTCTTCTTTTCCTACTTTAGTCAATACCTGAGTGTCTGTTAAAAAAGTGCATTTTGCCATTTACAGTGTTATGGTCCATTAAAAATGCCACTACCCATGCAAGCTGTGTTGTCGGATAAATCAAAGCTTTTCCTCAAAACAGTCACCTTATTTCGATGTGTAGCTGGAAAGACTCACAGGGGCTTCTTGAGTCTGCTTTTATCACGTCTGCTTTTAAGAGATCATGATTTTATAATAGTTTATTTTCTTTATTAATAAACACTTATTTGCTAATAGCTAAACCTCATAAATGAACAGAAAACTCATGGCAGAATATCACTAACAAATCACAATTTTATCGCTATGAGCATTCACAGTGAAGTGACTTTTAAGTCATTTCACTGTGCCGTGTGTGTGGCTGTCTGTATTTATATGGGGCTAGTTTAGAGAAGCTTTGAGTGGATTCCAGGATTCCCAAAAGATTGTTAATGAGCAAGAATCTTCTTGAATGTGCAGTTTTGAGAAATGGTCGAGCATCATTTAACAGAGTAGATGGAAAATTGAACATGGCAAATTTCAGCATTCAGAATGTAATTTCTAAACTTTTTTTTTTTAGTTCCAGTTTTCATTTCTTATTCTTTAATTCCATTCAGTTTTTATTTATTTTATTTTTCTGCAGTGATAGAAGCCCCTGCAAATTGTATGCAGAGTTCCTAATGAGGGCTGTATAGAGCACGGATTGGAAACTGCTGGTCTATTATATATAAGCCTACTTATGGTCCTAAAATTAATGACATATTTCATTTGCAAAATTCCTTAATTTCTTTTTTATTTCTTCAGTAACAAAAGTGGATGTATTTATGATGGTTTTAAGAAAATTTGGAATTTTTAAAATAATAAGCATGTAACAAGTTGCAGAAGCCTTTAACAGTTTGTAGTGTTTGCATTTTATTAATTCAGATTTGCTAAACTGTTATTTTTCCTTGACAAATTCTTTTATCTTGTACATACGAGGGTTGGGACTTTAATAGTGGCAACTATTTATTTACAAGGAATACAAAAGTGATTCATGTCACCATGTTTTATAGTCCTTCAATATAGTCGCCAGCATTGTGTACAACCTGTTTCCAATGATGTGGAAGTCGCAGAATACCTGTAGCAGCGGCTGTTTTGTTGATAGTTTAAATGGACCGGTCTACTGCCGCAAGAATCTCAGGAACAGTTTGGAAGCGAGTGCCACGAAGTGGTTCCTTCATCTTAGGAATTAAGTCATAGTCACAAGGGCTTAGATATGGAGAGTATGGTGGATGGTAAAGCACTTCCCAGCCCCATCGCTTGAACAAATCAGTCACAGCTTGCACTGCATGCGGCCAAGCATTGTCATGCAAAATGAGAGGAGCATTCTGCAGAAAATGTCGCCATTTTTTTCTCAAAGCTGGTCGGAGATCCAAAAATGAGCAGTAATACTGTGCAGTGACGGTCTGCTGTGGGGGAATGGTATGCGTTAGGATGACACCATCACTGTCATACAAGAAAATCACCATAACTTTCACATTGCTAGAGTTCTGACGAAATTTCGAATGTCGTGGTGACCCGTGATGATGCCATTCGTTTGACTGGCATTTCAGTTCTGGCTGGTATGATCGGGCCCAAGTCTCATCCATCCTGATGATACAGCATAAAAAAGCATCTCCTTCGCGCTCATAGCGCTCCAGGTGGGTTCGGGCAGCATCGTATCGTAGCCATTTCTGCATTTCCATCAGTTGATGTGGAACCCATCATGAAGCAATTTTTCTCATGGACAGGCGTTCCTTCAGAATGTGCAACACAGTCGTATGCGCTAATCCTGTTTGTCCGACCAGCTGACAAATTGTTTGGCGGTGATCACTGTCCATTAGTGCGGCAACAGCTGGCACGTCTGCATCGCTGACACTCGGACGACCTGGCCACAGCATGTCTGCCAAGTTTTGCCGTCATTCATTGAATGCTTTCACCCATCTTGCTACGGTTCTGTAAGGCAATGCAGATTCCCCGCAAGCCTTTTGAAGCCCTTGATGACACTGTCGTGCTGTACGACCTCTGGCACATTAAATTTTTATCCAACATCGTTGTTCTTGTTTTGAAAACATCCTGACAGCACTTACTTTAGACCGCGAGCTAATACAAGGATCCGTTCTTCGCGTCACTCTGCATGCGCATGACATAGGCAGGACGAGTCTTTTTGCTGAGAGGTAAGGTAGGTATGTAGTTGACATGTGGTATACGCGATATTCTTTGGTTTTGTTGCGTAGCGTTTTTTCAGCTGTGTTGCCACTATTAAAGTTCCAACCCTCGTATTTTGGTACTGTTTTGCAGTATTTCTGGTCCTAATACCTATATTTTAGATATTTTCTAGAATCCTCCATTTCAGTAAAAGCAGCTGTTTTTTTGTTATCATACATTCTAATTTAACCCTCAGATACTATTTCCTTTAATTATGTTTCTGTTAGCATGTGAGCTATTTTTAGATTGGAAAAGAAAATGCACATTAATCTTGATATATTAGAAATGAACAGTAGGTGGGGGAAATTATTCTGCAATTAAACCAGTTGCTGTATTAGATTGAAGACGCTTATTGTAATTATGAGGTCTCAAAGGGTCTAGTCATAATTTCCTGTGTTTTAAAATCCTATGCTATATTGTAATATGTAAAAATAGTGTTTCAGATAAACATTTCTAGTTCATAGTATTTTAATTGCAACACTATGCTGCAGTTATATATTTTATTCTCTAATGTGATACATTTACATTATTTAAAATTTTGTTTTGGGTCTTTGTTAGAAATTAGTTTTATTATACTTTCAGTATATGCTCAGGTTGTGAAAATGTTGGGAAATGGAAGATTGGAGGCTATGTGTTTTGATGGTGTCAAACGATTGTGCCACATAAGAGGAAAGCTGCGTAAAAAGGTAAAATATTGTAATTACTATTATTCAGGATGATTTTTTTTATACACCGGAAAATGTATAAAAAGTTATATTGTTATGTATTATGGACATGCATATTTGTTACTCAAATGGCTTTCCATTTCTCCAGATATTTTTGTCAGTGTAACAGCAGTTATGATTCTTTTTGCAAGAATGTCAATCTTTTACTCTCATCTTTGGCGAAATCTCGAACTTAGCTTTCTGCATAGAGTATAATGTGTCTTAGTTAAAGAATCATATGCCTTCTTTTGTTTCTCGTTTTTGGATTTTGTTACCAAAGTTGTGTGCAGTGCCTATTTTATACAATTCTCTGATTTATTTTAAGTGAAAACAGACCTTTGTGTACCCGGAGAGAACAACAGCACAAAAAGAGAGATATGTGCATGTTTATATGGAAAAAGAAGAATGTAAAAATGTAGCAGTATTCAATGCATTGTTGAAATAGGTGTAAAGATATCCAAATAAACAATTCTGTACAAAATCCTCAACGAGTTCGTTAATGATCTTGAAAGTCACAAATGAGTTCATGACTTCTTGGTGAGGGGGCAGATAATCAGAAAGTACCATAGGTAGTTGTGCTCTATACATATTACATTGATTTAATACTGTGATCCACTTTCTTACTTGGAATACCATGTTCTTATACTTTTAATCTAAAAAAAGTCCCAAAATGTTTTTACTTTTATGCATACAAAATCCAGATATCTAGCAGTTTCTTTTTTTTTTTTTTTCGAATTTTTTTTTTGTGAAAAAGGAAAAAGAATTAGATTTTCTTTTTCTTTTTATAATTTTTTTCTCTTTAAGGTCATAAAAGCTTCATTACTTCATAAACAACTGTTTCATCTTTTTAATTTTAAATTTTGATGTGTCATCTGATTAGATTTAAACTGACGATCTAAAATCCAGCAAATTCGGAAATCTGGAATCACCAAAGTCCCGTCCATCTCCAACTTTATATTATATTTATGTTTACATCTGAAAAATTTCAGTATGAGTACTTAAACTAGGATGAAAGATTTACTAAAGTTATTGTTTTGTTTTTGAAATATAGAACTATGTATCATCAACTATATTATATGTATATCAACTATATATGTATTTTCAATGTACACAAAAGAATTTTGGCTACTTTCTGATTAACCATAATCCCCCTGAAATTCATTCATGAGGCAACATGCTGTGTTGCCAAAATAGGCAGCCCGTGACATCACCAGAATGTATTTATGTGGCAACCCAGGATTTTGTATGCACGTTGCAGACAAATGCTGGTCAGTAGCATTTTTTTGTTGCATTAATGACGGTCATTAGTGTTTGTTTTTGTTGAGTACATTTTCTTGCATGGAATCCTTTTGGGACTGTAGAGTTTGCCAGCTGATGAAAAAGAAAGCATATCTGCATATCTTCAGAAATATGCATAACCGAAATTTTTTGCTCATCATAAAGAGAATGCAAAAATTCTCTTTCCATGAAGTTGTACTTTGTAAAGGATCAAATTTTATATATCAAAATTTATGTAATTCTCTAATGCTTTCGTAAACAAAAAGAAATCACTGTGTATATGTTTATAGCAACAGTGTGCACAGTTTGTGATGTTGCGTTTGTGTAAATTGCCTGATGTTTCTTGAAGATAAAACTGATATCTGTGTACAGAGGGAAAACAGCGCAGTGATTTTATAGAATTTTTAAAAAAAATTTTTAATTTGTAATTGGTTACTGTTTTATGTAATACCTAATGCACCATTATTTTTTAAAAGGGCTTTTGTCTTTTGTGTCTTAACTTGGGAAAAAATTACAGGGTTCGTAGCGGTCCTTACAAGTGCTTATAAGTCCTTATATTTGAAAATAAAATATAAAGGCCCTTATAGGTGCTTACTTTTTCTTTAAAGCCCTTATTTTTTTGTTTTTAGTGCTTATTTTTTGCTTTTAGTGTTTTTTTTTTAATGAACGCGCATTTCCCCCCCTCCGTACCAAACCCAAAACTAAATAAACAACTTTTCTTCCTTATATGGAACGTCAGATGCTGAATCATACTCCCGGAAATAGCTTTTCCCCTTTCTCTGCATTAAGGTAACCTATGGTGCGCACGAGAGTACAGACAGGTGCACGTCGATCTATTGGTCAAAGAATTGCGAAAACCGTAGGAGATTCCGGTACATTCAGTATTCTTTTCCTCCCACCCAAATACTACACACGTTTAAATTTCTATCAAGATTTTAATAATTTACATTCTCGTTCTGCGTGGTCAGTTCATATTCGTGTTTATTATGATCGTTATGCTTACTACACTGGTGTGCAAAAATTAAGGACGAAGTCGAAAAATTAGCATATCAGCTGAACGAAGAGGCAGAGCGGACAGAAAGACCAATTAGGAGATTAAGTAAGGTGATGTACGGTAGCACATGCGCAGATATGCAGGTAGACGTAATGGGGGAGTGTCTGAGTAGTATAAAGCATGTTGTCGGTGTAAGATCAGTATTTCTGGCAAAGAGATTGCACGCCGTATAGCAGTTAAAATCACACCGAGTTGTTGCCTCAGCGAGAAATGGCGAATAATCAATCTGTTAGACGACATCTGGATGCTTTTACCCGAGGTCGAATCATTGGGAAGTTGGAGGAAGGCCGCAGTGTGACAAGTGTGGTTGCAGAGTTCGGAATTGCTCACAGCATCGTTTGAAAATGACTTTGGAGACAATTTCAAACTACAGGAACAGCTATCCGAGGGTTTAGTAGTGGTCGTCTACGAGGAACCACACCCGCAGATGACCGGTATATTGCCTTACAGGCTAGAAGAAACAGGCAGCAGACAGCGGGAGAAATCGCTAGACACACGACACAGGCGACTGGACGACCGATATCGTGTTTTACCGTGGCCAGAAGACTGCACGGTGGTGGTCTGTTTGCACGACGCGCTGTACGGTGTGTACCTCTAACGCCTGCCCATCGGAGAAGGCGTTCTCTGTGGTGCCGGGAACACCGGAATTGGAGAGACAATGAATGGGGACGAGTACTCTTTACAGATGAGAGCAGATTCAGTCTGAGTAGCGATTCTCATCGCATACTCATCTGGAGAGAGCGGGGAAGCCGCAATCATCCCTCGAACATCATTGAAAGGGACAGGTATGGAGGTGGCGGTGTTCTCGTTTGGGGAGGCATCATGCTTGGTAGTCGTACAGACCTTCACATCTTCGACGCAGGTTCAGTCAACGGGACTCGTTATTGTAACGAGATTCTTCTTCCATATGTGCGTCTTTTTAGAGGCGCTATGGGTCCGCAGTTCCTTTTCATGGGCGACAATGCACCATGTCATCGCACAGTAGCTGCCGAACAGCTCTTAGAGAGTGAGGATATTGAACGTATGGATTTGCCGGCACGATCTCCGGATCTCAATCCCATCGAGCATGTATGGGATTTTCTAGGCAGACGCTTGGCAGCTCGTACCTTACCACCAGTAAGGATTCCGGAGCTTCGATTGGCGCTGCAAGACGAATGGGCAGCAGTGCCTCAACAACTCAATGACACCCTCATTCTCAGCATGGGCAGACGCTGTGAAACCTGCCTAGCAGTCAGGGGAGATCATATCCCCTATTAAAGACCGGATGTTTCTTGCTGGACACCCATCACAGGGATGTTTCGGCCTTCAGTCGCATTGCGCTCCATGCTACTTTTTCAATAAAGCTTCTTTTTATCCCTCTGATTTCTCTTTTAGTAAGTGTTGCTTACATTACTCAAGTCCTTACGTATTGGGGATCTTACGGTATTACATGTGTTGATTTGGAAAGCTTTTGTACAAAGTTATATTGAAGAAACCGTCTCGTCCTTAATTTTTACACACCAGTGTATATTATGAGCATATGTATGAATATTTATAATAATATAGTTGCAGTAGCTGCTGAAGTGTAAATAAACTTCCAAAAATGGGTTTATTTTTACACAGATTAGCTTTCTAAGGAATAATATTCCGAATGGCTTAAATAAAATGAAAGTAATCGGTAGTCAGAATAATTTTTTTTTTTCGCCAATACATTATACAGTACGGAGGCTGGGAGGTTCTCCCCTTTCTCCGCAAAATCGCTAATTATTGAAGCAGCGGACTTTTTTTGTCACTGTCCAATTTGCATTGGATAGGACTAAAAGTTTTGCGGTCTACCCAACCCAAGCGAAGAATGATTCTATTCCGGAAATTTAACGGTCTGTTCAAAATTAGAACGAAAACACCCCAGATTAGTAAGTTTCTTTATTTTCCTTTATTTAGTTCTTTATTCTTCGAATACCGGCAGCTGTTGATTCCGATTGTGTAATATCACGTATGGAAGAATTACGCCACACGTATTGCACAATAACGTTTGCGGTATTTTGCAGAGATAATTAATTTTGATGTTCAATCTGAGATTTATTTATGAATACTTGAAAGAGTTTTGCTGTTCTTTCTAAGCAGAATATTTCTCAGTTCTGCTGGTCTATTTTTATATGATGCACATATAGAAATGTTAAAATCATTTATTTAGCCGAGAAATCTAAAGAACGGCTACAATCTCCAGCTCCCTCCTCTTTTTCCAGTTACACTCGACTATATGGAATATTCGGCAATTTCCGAGTATGCGGTTTAGTTATGCTTTTACTGTTAAAGGATGACTGCATGAAGCAATTTTCCGTCTCCTGATACCAGAAATGTTCCTCTTTTTCACTTAAATTACTTTGCTTGTAATGTATGTTAAGGGAAAATTGTTATGCAATGAAAATTTAGAAAATGTTCAGAATTTTAATTTAAGTTAAATTATTTAAATATTAATATGAGTGGAAAAATAAATTGTATTTATTATTAGGTGCCAAGCGAATACAATTAATATGGCTTATTATTATTTATTTTCTATATTTTGAACTGAAATTTCATCATTAAATCTTGTAATATAGTTTAGTTCTGCATAGTTTTTTTTTCCCTCTCATTGTAAACTAATTCTGTAAATTGAATTGTCATTTAAAAT